ATACAGAGAGAGAGAGAGAGAGAGAGAGAGAGAGAGAGAGAGAGAGAAGCAAAACTGCTTGAAATTACTATAATCTAAAGCTAACAGAGTGTCAAACCAGTACTCAGGCCTAATCGTATGAGGAAAAAGGCGTTCGATGCACTTTAACCGTTTTCTGCCGAGAACGCGAGCGCTTCGGGCTGACATTCGAAGACGCGAAGTGGGCAAAACTCAGGGGAGAGAATTGATGAGAGGGGAGACAAGAAGCAGGGACACTGAACGCGCTGAGCTCTGGCTTTGAGGGTGGGACCAGACGCAGCGGTAAGATAAACCTATGACGCTCTCTTTCCTTCCGCTATAATGGCATTTTAATGTACACCTTGGACTTTTCGTTTGCTCGTGGTTTGTTTGCTTTTATTCGATTTCGGCCATCGCTTCGGTCAGGAAGTGCATTAGAATCAGTTTTTTCCTTTTAAGGTTTCTGCGATATTGTGAACAAATATCATCTATATTTTAAAATTGGAAGATGCACGTACTTCTTTTGCTATTCTTTGTGGACATGACATCTTATTCTTAGGACAAAAACACCCAAGGAGTTTGTTGGACGTGTCTAGATGAATGCACCGTCGGGTTGAAATTTCAGGGAGAAAAAAGTAAGTCACAAACGAAGAAGAACAACAGTAACTACTAACAAAAAAAATAGATAAATACATTTTTTTTAAATAATAAAGGAATAACGAAATAAAGGAATAAAGGAATGAGTGAATGAATAAAACTGAAGAAACAACGGAAAGAACAAACAAAACAAAACCCATAAAAAACACCAACTACAACAACAGACAAACAAACACAAGTCTTTTCTAAGGAAAAAATAAAAAAAACCCTCTTTTCAAAAAGTGACGTTTTTTGTGTGTTTTTTCTCCTGCTTTTTACTTTTTCTGTTAAAAAATGTTCTAACCTAGTAATGATTAATTTTCGTAACTTTGCAAAGACTATTTTTATTTTATGGTGCGTTTCTCTTGTTTAAAGTTACCTACTAACTTCACCAATGTCATTAGTAATGGGTCGACGTTTGATGGCAGAGGAAGTAACCATGTTATTACGAGGAAGCAAGCGTTCTTCCGACTAAGCAGCTAATTCATTGCATATGTCATTCTAAGATCGATACAGCCTAATTTACGAGTCAACAATTTCAAATCTTGTTGTCTCGTTCCTAATAACTTAGAAAAGATTGTAAAGACTTTGAACAAAGCATTGTTACTATTAACTTTACAGAAACTGGTCACGGTTTTGTTGAACATGTTGTAACATATAAAAACATCACGCAGCTTACATCAACAGGTTTTTTGTACACATAATGTGTTCACCTTCTGTTCTGACGTCTTATAACATGAAATTCATACTTTCATCTTTGAATAGCCAGTTGTCATGTACAAGGACGTTGAGCACATATACTCCCCTCCCATCGCTGCGTACGGTGCCCTTATTCATGCTATGCAAATAAATAAGGCAGTCCTCTAAAAAAAAAAGACAATGAAGTATGTTTTTAACTTCTCAATACTAAGCCTACTGCCTCATTGAACATAAGTTAAAGTTAAAGAACATTTTGAAATGTTGCAGTAAACTGAGTACGCCCCCCCCCCCTTTCCACACACTCTTTTTCACACTCTTAAAAGGAAAGGGGGTACGTGTTCTCCCCCCACTCCTCTCTCTTTTCTTCCCACTTGCCCCCATATCTTCTCGAACATCTCTCCCCCCCCCCCACCTCCTTTTTCCTGTCTGTGTTCCAATATATTATAATGGTAGCCGAAAGATTCTATCTGCATTTGTGATCCTGTTGCAGTAGACGGTATAATATTGCATCAGCTATTGAAGCTGTTTAAACTCTCACAAATTTCCTTAACAAGTCTAAAATTTTCAGTGTCGCTTATTTTTTCTTCTTTCAATTTGATACTTTTTCAACCCACAAGAGGCTCCTGGAATGTCAACCTCAAATGTATTGACGTAGCTACATTAAATCTTCTAGTCTTATCACTCTTATCCCTATCCTTCTGGGATTCGTTTCCAATCGTCGGGACCCGTATCTATGATCTCATTCAAAGCCACCAATCAAACGTTAGCAACTAGGTCAGAACATAAACTAACCCAATTAACAAACAAAGAGACATAAACATAAAATGTACTATTTTCTTCGTTGTAAGTTTTTAAAAGATGCTGTTGTAACTTGTTTGAAATATCTGCAGTGATATCTGTTTTAGAATAAATGAGCTGATCCGAGAAAGGGGGTAAGAGTGGGGGTGTCCGGAAGAAAAGTAATTTGGGGGGGGGGGGGCTTTTTTCATTGCATTCCCTACAAGACGTGACTTATAAGACTAACATGGACATTATTAAACTGTCACTGTTCAAAATCCTCACCCAGGTAAATCACTTGGAGTCCACCTTTTATTGACGTTGTTCTCGTTATACAAGGCCTACCCTTGCAACAAAGGGAACGAGGATCCCATCTTTTATTATGATATTTCAATTAAAGCGCCATAGATATGTCTGACATAACACCAAACTATACACCTTGTGACTGTTTGATTTTACTTACATCAGTGGAAGTACCTGGCGTCATTTATTTGGTTAAAGTATTGTTTTAGTCGTTATGAGACTGTTTTTGTCTTTGTACGAATTTTAATGACCTGCATGAGGAATAAAAAATAAAAACACGACAAGATTCACTTTTGATAATTATCTGAGCTGTTATTAACGAACACCAATCAATGACATATGCATACAATTAACAGTTTTCGTGTCATTTCAGGTGTATGTGTGCATGTTTATGGTATATCGAAAACAAAAGTTATCCTACAATATTGGTTTAGAATAACGGGAGCGCGATAGGTAAAAACGTAGATCAGACTTAAATCCTGATCAAATTTGAACCGACCCACTGAGGCATTCTGCACAGAATGACCAGCTACCATGCCATGCAATAATGTACATTCCCTCATTTATTTCCATGTTATAAAATGAAATTAATAATATTGTTCAAGAGATACTCTTTGAATTTGGGCTTCTTTTCTATCTGTTCAAAATGATGACATAATTTTATGATTAAAGACGTGGCGTCTGTTGCCTAGTGGTTAGGCTATCGGACTCGTAATCGCGAGGTTGAGGGTTCGGGGGTTCGAGCCTCAGCTCGGTCTGACGTTGTGTCCTTGGGAAAGACACTCTACACGAATTTCCCACTTGGCTCGGTCTTTTCGCAGATGAACTTTAATCACGGGGGTCCCGCCTCTTAAAAAACCTAACAGTGTTGATAGGGGCGGTAAACCTATACCATTTTGTTATTTAAACAAAAATTAAGGCCTTTAGTGTTGCACATTGATACTACAGTACCATGTATGTGTAGAACACGTGCCTTCGTTTGTAGGTCGTACTAACAAAGACAAGAAATAATATAGCCGACAACCATCGTAAACCATTAATTTCTCTCTTTTAGACCTGTTACTTGTGACTGTCATATGATAATTTCTTGGATGTGTACGACTTCGGTAGAATGACCTGTTGCAGGGCAGGTTTTCCTTTTGCTTTCAAGGCATTAATGACGTTCAGATTCCCGTTGATGAAAAGCATGGTCATATTTGGAGTGTGTTTGAAGGGAGGGGGGGGGGTACATTTTGTTCTTTTTATTTTGTTTTGAAGGTTGGTCTAACCGGATGTACTCCATTTCTGACCCTTCCCACCTCACAGCGCTCAGTATCAAGTTTTTATATAGTCCAATGACATGGCAATATTATCATTTGCCTTACCGTACTTTGATCAACAATTTTATATGTACTTATTATGTATGACTATTTAATTCATTGTACTCATTTTCATGCTGCCTCTTCTGGGTGATTCAATTTTGCAATAGATACTAATTTGTCAAATTGCTAGAATTAACACCCGATGTCCTTCCACTTTTGTACAGCACAACGGCATCTATGCTGGTTGCTTTCTCACAGGTCTACCACATGGAGCTGAACAAAGAAACCGCGCCACATTAAGCACAAAACTAATCACCAAAGTAAACCAAGATTCTTCGACTACTTTCAGTAAAGGGTGAAGGGCAAAGCATACATCGGCGCCGAAGCTCTGTGTCCAGAATGAAATAACGCAAAATCTGGATAAAATCAAAGCCAAACGTTATTCAAGTAAAAAGGAAATAAAGAAATGGAAGTAAATCTTGGATGTGTAGACGGCGCGCTCTCGGCGTAACAGAAACATTATCTTGATTCTGAGAAAATTGACTTTAGTTCCCCGGTCTTCAAGCAAATGCAAGTAAATCAGTTTGTCTGGAAAAGCAAAATGAAAAGAAAAATTGAGCTGAAAACATGGAGAAAAGCAGTGGAGAGGAAATTCAACGTAAATCATCCGTCAACTCTAGAAGGATGTAACTTGCTGGCAAAATACCTCTCTCTGAATTGTTTTTTGGAATCTATAATACTTGTTACTAATTTTCCCATATTGTGTAAAACACCTATTTGGTGCGATTTCAGATATTCATTTTTGTTGATTTAATGTGACCTGTATTTTTTAGAAAATAAATTACATCTAGGTATAGTTACCCAGTCTTACTGCCCTCACTTCAATTAATGAAATACCAAAAGTTTAAAGTTTTAGTGATCCTGTTCTATTGAAAAAGTCTTCACTGTGTCATTATGCTGATATACTTACAACACGTAACATAATAATTATTTCCACTGTATAAAAGCGTCTTCATGCTCTGAGAAGCATGTTAAATAGAAAATACCGAGTAACAAATACGCTGTTACGTGTAACCTCAAAAGCCAAGGTAAATTTAGCACAAATACTGATAGTATGTTCGCTGTTTTTTTGCTGATCTTTTTTCTGTGGACGAGTTAAAAAGAAGTAAGGGTAAGAAGTCTTAGGTCCTGACATGACTCTAAAATATTTGTATACCTGTCAGTTCTTTGACAATTTTCAACCTTTTCTGAGTGAGTGAGTGAGTGAGTGAGTGAGTGAGTGAGTGAGTGAGTGAGTGAGTGAGTGCGTGAGTGAGTGAGTGAGTGAGTGCGTGAATGAGTGAGTGAGTGAGTGAGTGAATGAGTGAGTGAGTGAGTGAGTGAGTGAGTGAGTGAGTGAGTGAGTGGGTGTAAGTAATTAAGGGTATGTGCATAAAGCCCATTTTATCGTTGTTAGGTTATATTTATAAGGCGGGATATCCGAATTGAACCTCATTCTCCGGTAGTACAGAGCCAAATGGGTTGAGAACCTTGGAAACTCCGCAAAATTCTGAGTTCAAGAACATCCAGGCGGCAGTTGGAACCAGGACCGTTTACTTCGTAGTTCAGCATGATAACAACTTTGCTTACCCTTTCTGAACATGTTGCAGAATGAATAAATAGCCTTAGAAAACATGTTGTGAGGAAATATTCCTGAAATAATTATCCACGGATTGTTTGGTGCATGTTTTGACACGTTTTTCTTAAATCTACTTTTCTACACCCCCCTCAACATAATTAGGGTCATTTAGGAGGCTGGCTTCTGGCTATGTCTGTCAGGGCCAACCCGGGCTAAGACGGATACAAAATCTTAGCAAAATACCGAGATACTAGATAAAAATCATCCCAACTTGAGAATCGAGCTCAGGTCTCCAGCGTGC